GGCCGCCGCCACCGCCATGGCCGCCGCCAGCGCCGCGCCGAGCACCGACGCCGACAAGGCCGGAGAAGCAGGAGGCGGCGCGGAGCCGGCGAGCGATGGCGGACGCGCACTCAGCCCCCTCCTCACGTCACCCTCCCCTCCCACCGCCCCTACCGGCGCCGCAGCTGCCGAGCCCCGCCCCGCCCGCCCGCCAGACGCAGGCCCTCCCTCAGCCGGGACCCTCCCCGCGGCTAGGACCCTCCCCTCAGCCCGGCCCCCTCTTGGCCCGGCCCTCCCCTCAGCCCGGACCCGGCGCGGAAGGGACCCTCCCTTCGAGGCCGAAACCTCCTCTCACGGACCCACCCCTCGACCTGGCCTCTCGTTTGGGTCCGGACCTCCCCTCAACCTGGACCTTCCCCTCCGCCTGGACCACCCTTCAGCCCTGACTCTCCCCTCAGCCCGAACCCTCCCCTCAGCCCGAACTCTCCCCTCAGCCCGAACTCTCCCCTCAGCCCAGCCCCCTTGCGGTCCCGCCTCCTCTCAGCCTGCACCCTCCGCTCAGCCCGGACCTCCCCTCAAACCGGACCCTCTCCTCAGCCCGGACCCTCCCCTCAGCCCAGCCCCCGTGCGGTCCCGCCTCCTCTCAGCCTGGACCCTCCCCTCAGCCCGGAACCTCCCCTCAGCCCGGAACCTCCCCTCAGCCCGGACCCTCCCCTCAGCCCAGCCCCGTTGTGGTCCCACCTCCTCTCAGCCTGGACCCTCCCCTCAGCCCGGCCCTCCCCTCAGCCCGGCCCCCCCGCGGCCCGGCCCCTCGCTGCGGCCTGGCCCCTCCCTGCGGCCTGGCCCCACCCCTCACAGCCAGGCCTCTCAGACCCGGCCCCTCAGTCCAGCCCGGCCCCTCCCCTCACGGATGCTTCCCTCACGCCCGGGCCTCTCAGCCCGGATCCTCCCCTCAAGGACTACCCCCACGGCCCCGCCCCTCAGTCCCGCACCCTCAGCACCGCCCCGCGCTGAGCTCCCTGCACCCTTCTAGACGGGAGCGCTCCTAAGCCCCGCCCCCGCCCGTCACCGCGCTGCGTCCCGGCGCGCTTCCGGCCCCCCGCTTCTCTCAGCCCGGCGCCTCTCGCAGTCCCGGGTACCGGCCTCTTCCGCGTTACCCCCGCCCCGTGCTCTGCCCGTCAGCGCCCTCGGAGCCGCGCCCCCGGCGTGCGCCCTTCTTCTCCCCTCAGCGCTCGGACCCGGGACAGAAGCCGTCGTGGGTCCCACGGGCGCCGCCCCCTCCGGCCGCCCGGCGCCAGTCCTAGCGCTGCCCCGCGTCTTCTCGCGGCCGGCCTACAGCCGCCTCACTCGCCGCCTTTGTTCTCGCCGCCTGCTTCACGCAGATCAGGGAGCAGCCCTGGCGGCCGGCGGCTGAAGCGCTCCCACGCTCTCTCGGCGTGCGCGCCCCGACCGGAGTGCACAGCCGCCCGCACGCGGCGTCCCAGCGGCGGGAGCGGGAGGGCGGCGTCCGAGAGCCGCGGGAGCGGGAGGAAGACGTCCGAGAGCGGCGGGGGCGGGAGCGGGAGGGCGGCGGCCGAGAGCGGCGGGAGCGGGAGG